GAATAAAGAACGTCAAAAGATTTCACTTTTGAAAATAGCAAATCTTTGGTCGGTTGCGTGGCACTTTTCTGTGAACGGATAGTGATGTAAAAAATAAAGCAAAAGAAAAAAAAAATGGTATGCAAGTGGTTTAAATCTATATCTGTGGTACTTAGTCGATATGTTTTTTTTTTTTTTAATTAGTTTTTCCCGCGACTTCATCTGTGCAACCGGAATATGTTCAGCGGCATAAAAGTAACCTATGTCCTTTTCCATCTCAAATAGTATGTGTATAACAAATTTCATAGTGATTGGTTAGTCAGTTAAGGCGTTAAAAGGTAAAACAGACAAACTCACTTTCACATTTTTAATATTAGTAAGGATAGGGATGTCAAATTATATAACTAGTGGCCTGGCCTACTGGCCATAAATACTGTTACATAAAAACTATTCTTTTTTTCAACTTTTTATTCATTTTGAATTTGGAACACGTTTATTATTTTAAAAACTTATTTCGATTTCGCGCCATTTCACATAGTTTTTCTTGTGTACATTATCAAATTACAATATGGAATGGGGTGTTAAAGAAAATAGGATTGCAGTGATCGCCTTGCACAAAGTGGGTATGGAGCCGCCGCTCATATTCCGAACACTTCAAAAGCTTGGTATCAACCGTATGTTCGTATATCGTACTATACGATACAACAACACTTCCTCTGTTGAAGACCAGAAAAGATCGGGGCGGCCGCGTGCTGTTAGAACTACAAAGGCTGCTAATGCTGTTAAAGCCAGAATTCGTCAAAACCTCATCAGGAAGCAAAAAAAAATCTTATCGCGAGAAATGAAGATTCCACTAAGGTGGCAAACAAGCATACCTGAGGGTAACCGGTTACCGTAGCCTATGAACGCCTGCCATACCAGAGGTATTACGCGCGCGTTGCCGACCCTGAAGAAACCTCTTTACCCCCCCTTTTGAAGAACCCCATGCTGTAGTCTTGGGAAAACCTCGGCAAGGAGATCATTCCATAACCTGAGTGTTCGTTGGAGAAAACATCTCTGAAACCGCGTTGTATGCGACCATTTAGGCAAATATCGTCATAGTCGTAGAATACTGACGGATCTTTATATGTAATCTTTGTCAGATCCATCAGTATTCTACGACTATGACGATATGTGTGTGTATATATATATATATATATATATATATATATATATATATATATACATATATTGTACCTGAATTAACATATTTACACTATTAGTTCAGTACCTGTAAAATAGTGATAAATGAAGACACTAAATGATCATCATCATCGTATCAACTCTTAACTATCCACTGTTGAACTTAAGCCTTCCCCATAAGGCTGATCAGGCGGCGCAGTCAGGCTTTTATAGATGTTTTAAGAGGTAGACTACTGTTCATCCCTCGACCATTAAACCCTTTTATTTGTCTCTTACGACACCCACGGGAAAGGAAAGGGTCGTCCATTCTATGCCGGGATCTACATGCAATAATAGATAATAAATACTTGTACAATTTTGTACAATATACATAATATTAGTATTGAATGAATGATTGTACTGTATTTGCATTATACAATATAGGGAATAAGCAAGGCAATTAACAAGTGTAACGATACAGTTGTATAAGTACAGTAAGGCGGTCTTATTGCTTAATAAGTCGATTGCTTGAGTACCTTTGTCCCATTCGTGTTTCTACCGTGAAGCAGTTGTGTTTGCATGGCTGTGTTTCGGTTTGAAGGGTTTGGGATATGGCGTGAATTTACTGGGTACGGAGGAATAACACCTGAGTCCTCAGGAATGGCAACGCACGGGGGGTATCATGAGCGAAACAGTATACTCTGTTATGTCCATGGCACTGCTCATGTCTATAGGCGACGGTTACAACTTTCCATCAGGTGGGCCATTAACTTATTTGCCATTCTAAGTTGTATAAAATTTTTTTTTTTAATTTGTCTACAATTTTGGTATTAAAACATTGCCTAGTAATTTTGTTATTTATATTTATATTTATATTCCTTATTGCACTGAAATACACAGGTTTTTCAGTGTATGGAAACGATTTTATTATTCTTCATGTATTAATTGTTACATTTTATGGTAAGGTATATATTTAGCAATATTTAGCAATATGTAGAAAAAAAAAAACTTAATTCCATTAAACGAAACCCTTAAAAACCCACATACATCAAAATAGAAACAAAGTAATGCCAACATAAAAACACGAACTTTGTACTAATTAAACCAACTAACAAGAGACGACTTCCGATTCTCCTACGTTTTGGGGTAGCATGGCAACACTGCCGGTTCCAGGGGTGGGCGAATAAGCCGCTTACGAGGGGGGCGAGCGGGCTGTTTTGATTATTTCCAAGGATGTCTTCTTGCTACGTAAATTATGCAACGGTTTTGCTTTTCAACGCTCCGTTGTTTTGACGTGATTTCTCGTCAGGTTGCCAGCTATATCTGTGTTGCCAACTGTTTCTGTTTTACTTTTAATTTATTTATTGTTTTTGTATAAATTGAAATAGAAATACCTAGAATCATCAAGAAATAGTTACGTCGCAATTTTGATATAAAATTTTTAATATGATATGATTTTAACTTGAGGCAAGATTTTTGTTTAGCAAAACAATTTTTTATCTAACTCATATGTGTATGATAATTATATGATTTACGTTTTAAATGTAAATGTTTCTATAATGATACCCATGGTACCTCTTTGGGTTAAATACTTGAAATTAAAAAATAGCAACTTGTATAGTTGTTTTTTTCAATCAACAAAATGCGGGAGTACATATTGTCCATTGAAAAAAATATAATTAAAATAAGTTTTGAAAAAAAAAGTAATTTAAAAAAATATATGAAATAAATATACTCTCATTACATTTTCATAATACGAACATTGTGGGAGGCACAGGATTACAAGCGAACATCAAACTGAAATTAGTTTCAGAGTCCGTCTGTCTTTAAAATTAACATGTCGGTTGCTTCACGATAAAATGTATATTCCTTTGCCTCCTTTCTTATTCATTAAAAAAAAAAAAGAAATGGTATTTTACTAAACCAATATTATAAATTCCACCATCATCATCATATTAGGCCATTAACTGTCTCTTGCTAAATATAGACCTTCCCCCTATTGGAGGGGTTTGCCAGTAGTTGTCATGCTTGGCAGACGCATTGGCAACCGCAGTAAGACTTTGGTGATGTTTTAACAGGAACGCCACTGCCCATCCCTCGACCACTAAGTTCTCTTACTCGTCACTTATGACACCCACCGGAAAGGAGCCTTCCTTGGCTTATTTTACACCGGAACCACACGGCAATGTTATAAACTGTGTATGAGTTTATCTTTTGGTCCTACGACTCAACTTTAGATTATATAGATAGAGCACAGCGTGTAAAAAACGGTTCAAAACTTAGTCAGCTAATTAGACGTTTGGCTAACTACAATTTCACATATTTTTTTAAAACGAATCAAAACGTGTTGTTTCAGTGTTGCAAGTAATTGAATTATAATTTTCCCAGGTCAGGCCCGATTGTTTAAAATTTGAATTGAGAATTTTTTTTGTGATATAAATATATATATTTCTGGTATAATAATATACGTATGTACGTATTGCTTAAAAATTCTCAAAAAATGTAGGTATTATAAAAAAGTAAACGTATTTCATTTGGATATAAATCAACGAAGTCAGTAAAGATAAGCATCATGACAAATCATTATGCACTGTTTATTTTAGTGTTTGAATCAAAATAAATCAAAATAACTACTTTTATCACAGTTGAAGTCGTTTTTTTTTTCTGAAAGGCAATCTTAATTATATTACGTCGATCAATTAATATCTCTAGAACGCGGACGAAGACGCGGGTAAAAATTAGTCAAATAAAATAACAGTTTCTCGCATTTCACTATTAAAAATTAATGTGTTTTTAAAAGTTATCTATAGAACATTAATAACAAATAACAGACAAGCGTAGGTGGCCCGCCACATTGTTCAGCCGTAACGACGTTGTAACACGTTTATAATTGTTATTTACGTATATTTAAACATACTGACAAACTGTTTTTGAGTAACATGCTCTTAATAGATTTTTAATAAGTGCTTCCAACTGCGTTTTAGGTTTGAGGGGAACTGCAATTTTTTTTTTTAAAGAAAATATCTAAAAAAACAAATCCCTCCAACTGTAAAAAGAGTTTCCTGTTGAGATTACGCCTACAGACTACATATAGATAGGTATAGATTTCTTCAAAGTGTTCCTTCAGTGTGGCCTATTCTACGCCGGAACCACAAAGAGAAAAAAAAAATAACCATTGCCAATATATGATCCATTAAAACAGATTTTATTAAAAATCTAACCAAGTTCTGTAGAAATCATTACAGAAACATTTACTTAATGAAATTAGTAACATATGTATGTATTAAATATATCTTGTACCCAATAATAATTTTGCATGCTTTAGACTATAAGGCGAACATTGGTACTTTACAATGGATCAATATTTGTAAAAAACAATGTTCTGTCAAATAAACTAATCTAATCTAACAGATCGAAATATCCAATCAGTTAATTAATATGTCTCTCAATATTAATGTCTACTCAGCAGCGCCATCTGCAACTCCCGTTGGTTACATAGAAATTAAGCGTTTAGGCGTTATGCATGAATGCCTAGACACTTAGCTAAGTGGTGATCATTTTGGTCGCATAGTTCCTCATTAGGTACAAGTTTATTTTCCATTTTTTTTTCTTTAAGCCTATAATTATTTGTTTGTTGTAACTGCTATGTATAAAATAAATCCTTTTCATTCTTTTTAATCGATACTTGATGTGTATTATTATTTGGACACGTCGATTTCATCAACACTGTTAATTTTGCTGAGGTATTAACATTTGCGTTAAGTTTCTTTGAGGTCTGTCGAAACAGATAATAAATCGCCATACGTGTCGTTAAAGCTGTGTGTACACCTTGAATAAATAAATAAGGAAACTTCACTTACCTTGCGGAAACCCGACCGCTTCTAGCCCGTGATGCGTTAATCCGAACGGCCCGAGGCTACCCAGAGGGCCTGGGCCCATACCCATGTGGTGAGCGCTGGAGTGGTGCGCGTAAGGATTCTGTGCAAGCGGCGACGGCTGCTTCAGATAGTGGAAGTAGTGGTGCAACGGCGTGGTGGAGTGGTGGGCTTGCGGCGCCGCCGGCCCGGTCGTCGTCGGTCCAGTGGCAGTCGCCGAGTTTGTCAATAACGCCATATTTGCCTGTTATCCGCCGTAATTAGTCACCGCATTAGCCTCTTTCGTGTGTGTATTGACATGGTTGGTGGGGTGCTTTATAACTTTCCACAGTCAATACAAATCGGCGAAGGCATTTTTGTGGTTGGTCTGTAACAACGAGAATGCTTTTAGAAAATTTCGATGACATAACGTCATAGTCATAGATAGAGAATGCAATCAATATGTTACTTAATCTGTGGAGTTTATTTGTAACGGTAGAGGTAAAGGTACAAGTATAGTGCCATACAGCTTAAGTTTCTATAATACATTAAAAGTTTAGAGAAATAATTTTTTAAAATAAAAATGTATTGTTGTTAAAAGAATAAAGTACTGTTATAAAATTTTGCATACAATAATGGGTAAATGGAATATGCGAAGGGTTTTTTGAAGTTAGTCTGTAACAAACGGGGAATGCTATTAAAAATTTGTTGTAGTTATCGTAAAGCACAATGGTACTATTCTCAATCTAATTTGTTTATCCATAAAAAGAAAAAAAGTGGGAAAGTAAAGTTACAAAGCTCATAAAGGGTATTTTAAGAATTACTTTAAAAAGGAAAAAAAAAATCAAATTAAGAATGTGTTGCTAGTATTATCGTAAATTTTTGTAAAAAGTGATTAATAACAATGTTATATTAATGGAATAGAATTAATTAACAATTGACAATATATACCTATAAATTAATTATGTCATTCAAAGTGGACGAGTTCCAGTTTATATATAGTTTTTTTTTATACAATTTTTTTTTTTTTTTAATATTTTAAGGGCTTTTACCTTCTTCAGGTATATCAGTCCTATTGTACCCTGAACTGATTTCTCCAACAAAACTTTATCTACCTTCCCTAGACGCGGAAAGAGAAGAATTAATGGGCTTCAATAATTTACACAGATGTTCAAAAATTTCTGGTTTAAGTTCAGCTAACATAGTTTGAATAAGACCAACATTCAATTTATTTAAGTTAAAGTGGCGCATGAATTCTTCTCTTTCCTTCGTGTTAATACGACACTCTAATAGAATATGATGCACATCATCGATGGTAGAATGACAAACAAGCTGACGGCCCACCTGATGGAAAGTGGTAACCGTCGCCTATAGACATGAGCAGTACCATGGACATAACAGAGTATACTGTTTCGCCTATAATACCCCCCCATGCGTTGCCATTCCTGAGGACTCGGGTGTTATTCCTCTGTACCCTGTAAATTCACGCCATATCCCACCCACCCTTCAAACCGAAACACAGCCATGCAAACACAACTGCTTCACGGTAGATACACGAATGGGACAGAGGTACCCAAGCAATCGACTTTTGTACAAAGTCTCCCTCTGGTAAGTATTCGGTGAACACTACATCGTTCATTCATTTAATTGCTGAAGTAGTTACTGAGTATGAATACTTAGTTTTCTATTTTATAAGCGTTTTAAAATTTAAATATTTTTTAAAGTTATACATAATAAAAAATAGAAGCAAGATAAAGTAAAAAGAGAGACTTTTCCCAAGAGACTACAGCATGGGGTTCTTCAAAAGGGGGGTAAAGAGGTTTCTTCAGGGTCGACAACGCGCGCGTAATACCTGTGGTATTGCAGGTGTTCATAGGCTACGGTAACCGGTTAACATCAGGTGGGCCGTATGCTTGTTTGCCACCTCAGTGGTATAAAAAAAAAAAAAAAAGAAAGGTCGCAGAAATTACATTATAAGAAGTTTAAGATATGAATATATCTGTTATTAAAGTTTAAAAAAAAATATTTAAACGTAATTATTAACTAGTCTAGGTAGTTTATTATCTCAACGTGTCGAAAGCTTATGTTTAAATATTTCTGGTTGCGGATTAGACTAAGATATAGAATGTCTGTCAAGAGATTGTAATAATTATAAGTACACTTAATCTGTGCATTAACTATACTGTACATGATAGTTTTTTTTTTTTTACATTTTTATATTATTGAGAATAGCACAAAAGTTGACATGTATAGACTGTGGTATATTTGTTTTTTAATGGATGACATGGAGTGGTAACTCCGCCTGCGCTAATGGTACACGTTGGCCAGACAAACCGTACATACATCATACACACCAGTGGATGATGATAGGTGAAAATGAAGAGATCAGTTAGTCCATCGTGATGAGGAGTTCAACACAATGGTTCTTCAAAAAAGGGATAAAGAGGTTTTTTTTTTTTTTTTAAAGTGGGCAATGCGCGCGTTGTGCCCCTGGTATTGCAGATGTTCATAGGTTACAGTAGCCGCTTACCATCATGTAAGCTGTATGTTTGTTTGCCATACCAGTGGTATAAAAAAAAAAACGTTTGTTTGTTACAATTTGTCTATTTCAAATGTTATTTAATTCATATTAAAAAAATTCATGTATAGAAATTTAAAACATATTCTTAGGGAGTAACATACGCGTTATTTTATTTACAAAAAAACGTGCGAAGCCGGGGCCATTAGTGGCTAGCTAGTTCTTTGAGTAGAATAACAGACTTGTCATTCATAGTTTTTTTTTTATGGGTGATAATGGAATGGTAACCCCACCCGCGCTATCGGTATACACCGGCGGGACACCAGTGAAGGATGATAGGTGAGGATGAAGCAGGTCAGTTAGCCCACCGTGACGAATTCAACAAGAATTGTTCACGATGGTTTTCAGGGGGAACCACGTGGAGGTCGACCTGATACATATATTGCTGACAATGGGGCAGTGGCTAGCTAGTTAAAAATAGAGATAATAAATCCATAATTTTAAATATGTTTTAAACATGTAGTAATTGCTGATATGGTCACCTTTTAAACTAGATGAACTGTTGACTCTTTTAATATAAATTGTATGTGTTATTTAACTTCTATTCAAAGCAATAACAGCTAGCAATGTAATTTGAAGTCAATAAATTTCTATAAAAAGTGCGCAAGTGAGCATGATAGTTACATTACACTATTATTCACGGCTCATACGATATATAACAACTTCTCTTCATGCAATTGAACGCTTGTCAGTATCAATTATAAGCAACGATGTATTAATTTTTTATATCTATCTCAAACTATTTTACAATTACCCACCCCCGGTGGTAATTTTCCTCGCTATTGCAACATTGCAGTTTAAAAAATAAAGAGTCAAACACGTGGAACGCCTTCCAAATTTGAAATGTGAATGGTACCATTCGTCACGACTCCGACGATGCATCCTTTGAGGATTCGAGTTGCAAAATTCAAAAGTTTTTTTTTTAATCTTTTGTTGCCAAAGGTAACGTAGGTACATGTTTACAGACATTTTGTCACGTTTATTTTTTTTTCTGTACGTTACCTGAGGTATCTTTCAGTAAATTGAGGGTCTATGATCACGCTTGTGATTCCTTTGTGTAGAAAAAAAAAAAAATAACGAGTAATATCAAAGCGATGACATGTGAGAAATGGAAAAAGTTGATATCAAATAATGATACGTTGGTATCGAATCGAATAAGGTACTTTACCTATATTATTTTTATAAGATAGGATAGACTCGTATAAAAATATATATTTAAGGTACCAATATTAATAGAATTTATATCAATTTATTAAGTATTTAGTACTTAAGTACTCAAATGCACTAATTAATTCATAATAACTTAAGAATAAATGGTGTTGTTAAAAAGTTGCCAGGATTTTTTTAAACAATAGTAATAATAACTTTCCGTCAATTGTTAATTACATAATTAAATTATTAATATTTCAAAAGAATTGTTTAAAAGTTTTAGGTTCACTTGACTATGACTTTTATACTGAGTTTTTATCTGTCATGAACTAAATATACAATTGTCACTTTTTTAAAAGAACTGATAAAAATTTACATTAAAGAATTGTTTTAAAAATTTTAGGCTGATTTTATTTACGCATTACAGAAACTCAGTGTTACACTGAGTTTCTGTCATTTCCTAATTAAATGACTGTTTATTTTGCACGGTAGTTGTTTAAGCTTCGGGGTCACTTTATCAACTCTAGCACTGAGTTTATTTAATGTTTTTCCAGTAGTGTCAGGCTTACTTTCTATTTTTTATTTTTATTTATTTATTTAAGGAACACCAACAGCATATTGCATTATAACATATAGGTATAACAATATAACTGTAATACACTGTCACATGCAAACTACACCACAAGAGTCGTTTAAGACTTAACATTACTTTATCAACTGTAACATTTATTTTCTATAATATGAATACTAGCTGACTCGGCAAACGTTGTTTTACCATATACATTATTTCGAGAACTATACATAAAAAATTATCCTACTACAATTATTATATTGGATTGCCATCTTGCAACCCTATTGCAGCATAAATAAATCGCGATTAAAAAACAGGGGTTGATCGTAAAAGCGTGAAAATTAGAATTTGTATGTATTTTTTAATGCTAAATCATAATAAAATAAAAATAAAAAATATTGTTAAAAAAATAAAAAAAATATTTAGGAGTGGGTCACCCTTATCATTGAGGGGTATGAAAAATAGATGTTGGCCGATCCTCAGACCTACCCAATATGCGCACAAAATTTCATAAAAATCGGTAAAGCCATTTCGGAGGAGTTTGGTAACAAACACCGCGACACGAGAATTTTATATATTAGATTACCTACTCAATGTTACAGAAATGCTGTTTTTTAAACATAAAGGTTACTATAATACATACCTATGTAATACATATATTCACGTGTTATTTACATAAATTTTACACGTGAGCTGTTTGTCTTTATTGTCATTTTATCAACTTTAGAACTGAGTTTATGGTGATTCTCATATCAGCTGTTAACCAGCTCCATAAGGGTTTTTTTTTATTGGGTAATAACGGAATGATAACTTCGCCTGCGCTATCGGTACACACTGGCGGAGTATCAGTGAGTGATGATAGGTGAGTATGAAGTAGGTCAGTTGACCAATTGTGACGAATTCAACTAGTTATTCTAGCCACGATAGTTTCCAGGGGGAACCACGTGGAGTTCGACCTGATAGGGTATATAATGGGGCTGTTAAACCTCATTGCTAACAATCCATAAGAGGGGGTTTACCAGTAGTTGCCATGCTTGGCAAGCGGGCTGGCAACCGCAGTTAGGTTTATGGTGATGTTTAAGAGCGACGC